CAGCTCGATGGCCAGCGCAAGACGCTCTTACGGAGCACTGCGAGGAATAGAGGGACGGTGCCGGGTTAAATTCGGGTGCGCCGAAGTCGGCATTTAGGTAGGCATTCTGACAGCCAAGGTGTTGTCGTGACGGCAACTAATCTGGTTGCAAGCGCGATATGCCTTCTCGGGTCGGTTCTGTTGGCTACCATCGATGTTTTTAGTTTTTCTCCGTGTACAATAATCTGTGTTTTGCGGTCTGTCAGTAATGTGTTCCTGCGGCAGAATTGCTCGGATGAGCAGACAGCCCGCTAAAATAGACTTTCGAGTTGCCACACTGCTCAGATGCACACACATCCCGGGCTGAAGCGTTTTAATGCAGTTGCTGTGTACGTCGTACCTCCAGTTCGGTAGTCACTTTGCTGTATATGTGATGTCTAATGATTATAGGGGTAAATCGCAGTGTATTATGCGTAATACCGAAATTATGTTATATTCAGTGTAAGCTGATGCTAGCGATCTTATTTGCAAGTGTACTTTTACGTGTTGCTCCGCTTCATTGAAGTACCCTGGGCTTACTGACTGATGAAAATTAGCAAGATCGGTTATATATACGGTGAGTGCCCTATCTGTCATTTATGCTGTGATTCGTGGTGATCTGTTAAGGTTTATTACGAAACTGCGGTATAGCAAGTAATATATAAATACAATCATTTGTTTTAATGCTTTACGCGTGAATTTATTTTTACAAAAAACATCAGATCTGTACAAGTTAATTTTGTTTTTATTTTTTTTTTTTTTTTTTTTTTTTTTATTTTTCTGTTTTTTTTTTTTTTTTTTTTTTTTTTTTCTTTTTTTTTATTCTTTTTTTTTTTTTTGTTGTTTTTTTTTTTTTGTTATTTTTTTTTTTTTTTTTTATCTTTTTTTCTTTTTTGTTCGTTTTTTTGTTTTTTTGTTTTTTTTTTGTGAGTTTTTTTTTTTTTTGTTTTTATGGAATGTGTTGGTATGATATGGCTAAGTCAGTGTACTACCTCACTTCCGTTTTGATAATGATGCAGCGTTTCACAGGGCAGAATCTTCTATGTATTTAACGCTAGTCTGCCACTAGTTGTAGATGATTTTAACAGTTCTGTCTTGACCCCAGCCGCCGGTAGGAAGCCGATGACGTTGACATCCGCCTTGCGTTCACCTCTAAATCAACGCTACGCGTTGTTCTCTTGCGCGCCGTGTTAAACATTTTCACCAGTTATTCGCGACTTTCTAAGCTTCGCTCAGCAATAACATTTATCTTTGACGATAGAAAACAAGATGCCATACGATACTAGATTAAACCCAAATAATATTTACTTCGCAGGACCTATACTCGATATGTTTCTGCCTTGCTTTAAGACACATGATATGTACATGTGACGCTTGACGACGCCCGGAACAGCTGCAGGGCTTTCAGTACTGTCCCGGCGCTGGTGCGTGATTAGCGTGATAAGAGTCTCGAGTAACAGTTGTACGGCACCAGCCTGCATCACAGGTTATAGCGTTGGCTCCCAACACCTAAACCGTCTCGGCCACTAGGCCAGCGGTGCTTCAGGGTAAACTGACGAGGGGAAGGGCGTAGAGATGACGGGAGAAGGTCGACTGGGCTGTTGGCTTCGTAATCGTTCGACCGATGGTAAGTCGGGCGGTTCACTCCCCGTCTGCTTCGTTGCGTGGCACAACATCCGGTGTTCGCCGCGCCTTCGCTGCAGATCAGTCCGATTCGAGGGGCTCGCGACGGTGGGTCGGCGTTAGTCCGCGGGAGTCATCGTGCCATATGGCCAGCCAGGGCAGTGCTTCCTTCAGCATGGAGGATGCAACTGCGGTGACCTCTGTGTTCGTTTCGTGCCGAGCGAATTGCTAGCTTCGCACGTTCGCGATTGCCTGCACTCCTGTGCAGTTACTAAAGCGCGAATGAATGTCAGCATCGCAATATTCCTCGCGGACAGTACACGGATATTCCATAGCAATTGATACAGCTGCTTTCTCGCTACGCACCCTACTCGTACAGTATGTGGATGAGTAGCGTCGCCTTAACGCGCATACATTGTACCAGAACATCTCCAATTACGAATGTGCGCACTGCCGCTTTTTGACTCATTGACTCAGCTGGCCTGTATTTTTACTTTCTGCTATATTTCTCTACATCAGAGCTTCTGTATGCTTAAGCACTCAGTCTCGTGGTCGCTGAAGCCTACCAGGGTTGAAATCGCGTGAATAACATTCTAAAACATGCCTGAATACATCTAACTGCTCTGAATAACCTCTAAAACTGCTCCTGAATAAATCTAAAATGCTCTGAATACATCTAAACATGCCTCTGAATACATCTAAACACTGCTCTGAATAACATCTAAAACACTGCTCGCGCGTTTACGAGCGCGTCGCTGGGGGGCCGCGGTGGTGTGTGTGACCTGTCTGTCGTCGTGTCGTGTGTGTGTTGTGTGGCGTGCTGTGTGGCGTGCGTGCGCATGTGCTGTATGAATGCCGCGCGTGTTGACGACTAGTTTTCGGTCCACTAATGCGACGAACTGACCAGAGCGGGCGATGGCCAACCGCGCGAGCGTTCGCGAGAATAAAAAAATCGCGAGAAGGACGCTGTGAACACGTTACGCCTGAGACATGTGAAGCCTGCGACCTGTGTGAATGCTGCCCAGTGAGGGCGCGATGAGCGAGCCGCCGCACGGGTTGCGCGGCTGTTCTCTCGATTGAATCTCGGTCCCCTGGTTGTGTTCCGGGCGCCCGCACCAGGCGCCGCACCGTGCCTTTGATGTTAAGCTTTCACCCAGCCGTCTCGCCGACCGGCACCATCTTGCGAGCCCGCTTAACTGAGCGATCGCCGAACTTCTCGTTAATACACGGGCGACGATTCTGCCTACTCGACGTTATTACAGATGAGCCAGGAATCCGATTAAGTCGCGGCGTCAAACTTTGAATTCAATTCGGCTCGTAAATACCGAAGCGGTTACATCAGCCGAGTATAGACATGACTTCAGTCGCAGCGGGTTTGATTCGTGCAGGGTATGCAACTTAGTGTGTGTTAGTATTGTCAGCTATATCTATAACTACAGTTTGGGCAAGTTAAGTGGGAACTGGGAATAACATAGTAACAACTCTATATACGACGCTCTCCTACGGTTAAAATATCGCATTGTTTTTTTACACTGGCATGCACGTAATTCCGCGGGTTATCGTTGTCTGTCGCTTATTGGCGTGTCTCAGTGGAAGACTTACGCGTGGGTATTGTGAGCGGCATCATGTACTGCGATGATGCTTACTGATCGGGATCTTTCTGCCCGGACTTCGTCCGCCTGTCGGCCGCGCGTCTGACGTCGGGTCTCTACTTCGGCGCGGCTTCGCGTTCCGTTCTTGGTGTCTTGCGCGCCCTTGCGACTCCCTTCGCGGCCGCTTGTCGATCGCGTCGACCTGGTAACGCGCAGTAGAAAGGCGTGTTGAGCGTTGGTGTCGATGACAGTGAGCGCGATCTTTCTATGCTGATGCCGCTATCACCATCCACATGCTATCAAGAGCTAATAACACCTAGGTATTATAGGTGTTATTAGCTCTGACCTGTACGTCTATAGCCACACCAGGCGATTCGTACAGTATCCGACAAGACAAGACAAGACAAGAAAAGCTCTTGATGCTATTACGATTCACTCGCTTAATTTTTCTCTCAGTAGGTTTGTGAGTCTTATTTTGAACGTTTCGTCGTTCGAATTCATTTGGCTGTATGTTGATATTAAAACTGTATCTAAGGGAAATTACACACACCCGACAAGAATATGTTGACATGCCTTCTTCAATAAACTGTACGGAAATGAAATTGCTCAGCGCAAACAACTAGTTTGTATCGCGTATGACTTGAGCGTAACTATTTTTCGCAGATTCATTTAGTTTCCACCATAAAACCGCCGAGGCCAGTATAATAATACGTTACGTAATAACATTCTTCTTCTTCTTCATAACTTCTCTACGGCTGTGTATACGCAGGGCCAGGCGCGCGGCATAAGCTCATCGACTATTTGCGTTACCTTGATACAAACAATCGCGTTGAGTGGATTTCATCCCATGCGACCCATACCTGTTTCCCTACGGGATGACTCGTCTTGCGGCAGCAGGTACAACCGCAGGGTGGCGGAAGATACCTTCGAATCGATTTCCTCGGGTCGTGGCGTATCTCGAGGGTTGCTGAGATCGAAAGTACAAGCGCATGACGTAAGGGTCGGTGTCGCGCCACTTGCGCAGTTGACTCCCGGCGGTGCGAGACCTGTACGTTGGTGCGAACCTTATCAGAGCCATGGAGCACTCGTATTGTATATGGTGCGCCGGTGAAACACCGGACGTTCCTCTAGCAGCCGCAGTCACTGTGCCGAGATAAACACTACCTGATAATATCAGGGGGTAATTAAATAAAATAAATGTCTTCTATTATAATGTCTTAAATGACTCTTGATAATAGCAATGAATGTCATCAAAATAGCACATGAGTATATATATATATATATATTATACTATTATATATAATTATAGTATATTGTGTGTGTATACATACAAATACGCGCGATGGTCATTTAGTGAAGATATCTTTAGATTTTAATTGACTTGTGTCTGGTATTCACAAAAGGAACTATTGTCAATATAATAATCGCGATATTTATTATATTAATTATCAAAAACCTTCAGGCAGTACCAGCGTGACCAGTGGGATCATACGCGTCACATCTATGACCTTTATCATTATCTATGACTTTTATCATTATGACATATCGCCGAATTATATTTAACGTGCAGCCAGTATGCTCTTCAATTAGACGTATCCGTTTCTCATTGTGCAACGACCAGACGAGTAAGTAATGATGCTATCGGTTAATAAGCTGATTTCGGGCAGCTGATCTTTCTATTTACGAAGAGGAGCAGATTAGAAATCTGTTGACTGCTCTAGACTATATCGCTTGACGTTCAAAAACCGATGACCTATAAAAACTGGCTGCACCACACTGCATCAGGCTCCCCCAGGCGGAGCGTCTGTAACAACTGTCTAGAATTCATCAGATCGCTGGCGCGGGGGGGGGGCTTCCAAACTTATCAGCAGTCACCTTCAATAAATCTCTCAGACGGCGTGAATCGTTAAAAAACAGGAAAGATCAAACAGCCTGCAGCCATTGGCAGCAGTCGTCTCGCCGCAAGGAAGCCTTTTTTGTCGTGTATGAACATATTAAATTCGGTTGGTACTTGTACTTTAATGAGTCGGAAGGATTTTTGAAAGTCAGCGAATGTTTTCCTGAACTTGAACGCGCTTTGATGGCAAAAAGTTCATTAAAAAGACGTGTGCCAAATTTAAGTGCATGCGTGTGCCACTCCCTCAACGGTGATTGGCTGCCTATTGCAATTATCGGGGGAGCGGTTTTCATACGCACGAAAACATGTTTATGCGTTCGGAATCTCGTTTTACTAGCGAATTTTTTGGCGTCTCCTTAGCCATAAGCGGCGGTTAATTAAACTGAGCGGTTTATAGTGTTCCTCGAGGAACTCGGTATAGTTGTAGTATTAACTGTGATTTGTAGTAAGTAAGCATGTATGCATGGTTCAATTACGGACTGACAATATTCCCATTCGTGGAAGTTGACAAGACTCGTTTGCTTGTGCACGTTGATTCATATAATTGCATACCCTTGTGCGCATGAGAATGTTAGTTACTACGTGCATATATATATATACATAATTTGTAGTCTGTGCGTGCGTGCATGAGTGCGTGCGTGCATGCGTGCGTGCGTGCGTGCGTGCGTACGTGCGCGCGCGTGTGTTTGTGTGCGTGTCAGTGGACGTGTACATGCATACATACACGCGTACGAGTAAGAATGTCTCAACGCGCGTGCGTGTGTGCGCGCACTCGCGCGTATCTATGTCTATGCGTGCGTGCGCGCGCGCTCATACGTGCGCACGCCCGCGCACACAGTGCACTCACACGATGGCGGGTTGGTCTTGAAGCGCTTCGCGTAGAATTCGCCGACGTTCTCGTTGCCCTCGTTGCCGGTGCGATAGATCGTCTCGAAGGCGTCCATCAGACTCGTGCGCTCCTCGTCCGTGAATGCGCTCGACGAGATGTTCGGCTTACGACTCATGCCGAGCCGCTGCAGAATCACCGCCTGAATCCACAGCAGGTGTTCCTGCTTCTTCCTTTCATTCAAGCGATACTGACTGTTAGCGACCGCGCGCGTCGGGCTCGGTCGTGACGCAGTGGGCGACGCAGTGGGCGACGCAGCGCGCGACGCAGCGTGCGACGCGTCGACGCGCGTGCCGACCGGCGGGTCGGGGGATTCACGATTTTGTCACACGGTGCACCATTAGTTTCCATCGGGGTAAACGGAGCAAAGAAGAAAAAAGGGAGACAACGATGTTAGTGAACAGTGCCCTAGAACAATGTGTCACAGCTATCTATATAGAATATCGCACAGTCTACAACATCTACAATTCAAATAAACAGTCTAGAACATTACACAATCTACTATGTACAAATTCACAGTGCTGCGAGCAAGAACATCTCACAGATAGCTACAGTAACAGACAACTATCTACAATATACAACGGTTACAAACAATATTTTAACGCCAGGCTATTTATGTTACAGTGATCTACAATAATATTATGTCAAGCTATCACGAAACTCTCACAATGCCGCTAGCTACAATATGCCACTGCTCTGCACTCGCTTACACCTCTCTAGAATGCATAACAGCAGAAGTGCGCAAGAACATGTGCTCGGCATTTCTAGTAACAGTTGTCAATGATATCACAAAACTATCTACAATATGCCACATCTTTAAAATAATGAAACAGTTATCTACGATTGTATAGGAGTAACATTACGCAGACATGATCTGTCTATTATGTTACACCTAATCACACGTCACAGCTATCTACAACACAATGTGTCACAGGTATCTATATTATGACAATAACTATCTAACTACTAATATGTAATCGTCATTTTCATTAGATCACGGTCTTCAGCTACCATTGCCAACAAATACGACAAGCAGTTCATAAATTACATTAAATACATTAACCCCCATGCATACTGTGCGACTGTCATACAGATCTGGTCGGTTTTGTCTTAGCGATGTGCCGGACAAGTACGCGACACGTATTATGCGTTAGCTATATATGGTAGTCGTCATACCCTTCGCGAGTGACTACGACGTAATTTCCCGGTGACATAGTCAGCCATGCAGCGGGTTTACAGTGAAAGGTTTACACAGTCGCGTGTCATAGAGACTTCGCAGTTGCGTCTCTGAGACTGACACGCGGCTGAGCAATATCTCAACTGTAAACAGTATGTAACTGTAACTGTAACTGTAACTGTAAACAGGATGAGCTGGAGAAATCAGGTCAGAATCGGCTCGCGTGTGCGCGCCTCTAGGGGAAGGTGAAGGTGTCTAGCCGTTACCTTTCTCTCATCTGCAGAAGCCGTTGAGTTTCGTAGTCCAAAGTGGTTGTCACGTTCACGTCCGATCCCATTGTATTGTTGTCATTAGTGTCGTTATACGCCATCGACAAGTCCTCATCCTCGCCTGCTGTGTTGTCAGGCAGTGTTCGAGTGTCAACGACCGCTGTCAACAACAATACTGTCATCGCCACAGTCGGGAGCGGCCAGATGAGATAAATGTTTTGCACCATCGTGAATTGCGAGAATCCTCGAACGGTAGTTATTCTGACAAAAGTCGTCGGTGATCGTGAATCCTCAAGCCCCGCGACAGTTGTGTGCGTCTCTCTCTCTCTCTCTCTCTCTCTCTCTCTCTCTCTCTCTCTCTCTCGGTGTCTCTCCCTCTTTAGCTCCTTTAGTTACTGTCTTCTCTCCTGTGTTCTCTTTCTATATATGTATATATGCGTGTGGGTGAGTATGTGCGTGTGTGCCCGTTGTGTATGTATGTCTGCCTGCGTGTGTAACGAGCCTTTTCTTGTAGACGGTGATTTAGCGTGAATGTGTTTACGAGTATGCCCGCGCGCAGCCGTGGTCGCCTTATATGCCTGGTCTACGTTATCCACGTGACGTCTGCAGTCGTCTGACGTGAGCCCGCAGCCGCCTTCCCTGATCAGCCGATTGCTACGTCTGCCTGCCGTTCCTTTGATCTTCAAATGGATTTCCGCGAAGGGATTTCTCTAACGATCCGAAATCCTCTTTAAACCTGTGAGTGTTAGCATCTGCCACTTGTACAAACCTCTTGTCAGTATGTTGCTAATGCACACTATATATTCGAGCTACGAGATGTAACGGGTGGTGGTGGCGATGGTGGTGCGTAAGGCGGAGGCGCAGGCTCCCTCGCCCATGTGGGATGCCCGGAAACAAATATGTTGTTTAGACTGGGCGATCTGCCAAAAAGCAGCCGCTGAGACCACAGATTAACGCTCTGAGATTCACGTGTTTCGCGGGGCGCTACTATTTGCGTATGTTTAGCAGCATCTTCCTCGTACACGGCGAGCTTTTCTGACGCAGTTTATTTAATCACATCATGTACGAGTGTGTGTAGCTTCTCCATGGATCCATGCCACCCGCCGGTGGTGTAGTCTACGCGTCTGTGAGAACGTTACGGCTAAACGCCATTAAAAAATACAACACATCAGGAACGCCTTGTGCCACTTTTTTGTCTCGTCTCGTCCATGATGTCATCGTGGCGATCGTAACACCGTTCGTAATAAATGGGGTAATAAATGCTGCCAACAGCTGTGTGCGGATACAATGTTATTGCCAGTAATAAAGAATTCGGAGAGCAATGTATCGGCCAAGTCTTTTGGTCTCGTACGACCTACGCGAGATCACATGGTTTGTCTAATGACGTCGCAAGGTTTTTTCGTCAATTTTATATTGTTATCCAAATTTAAATTTGATCCTGTGGACTTAGCGTGCTAATGTGTTTCGCAGAACCTGGGGGCTCTATTGAACCGCCATTAAACCGAGTTCGTAGAAAATATTTGTTCAAACCCCATAAAACCGACCTGTTAATATATTTCATCTTTAGATTTTCGATTCATCGAAGAGATGCCACGGCACGATGTTAAAGGGTTTTGAGCTGCAATCATCTGTATTTAAATGCGATGATACCTCCTGAATTTGATTCATAGTCGATTTTTACACATGTACTGTAAATCTTCATAATCTTGTTACTACGATCGTGGGAGCGAAGATTGATTGAACGCATGTTACTGCTGTTTTCTGTTGTAGCGTTTATCTAGCGTACCTCTTGGCGGTCTGTAATCATACATATGAACAAATACAATTATAATTTGATCACACGACTTAAAAAGGTGATGGGGTTTTAAGCTAATCATATTTATCTTAAAAGACAAAGAAGTTATTTAAATGTTCTTTGACATTATTACTCAAACATTACATGATTAGTTGATGTGCGATTACTTAGAAAGCTATGGTCAAAAACGAGGTGTGCGGTTTACGTACGCCGACTGTCATTGTTACAGCGTGTGTGCTCATCACTTATACCCCGTCACACCGGGGTGGCGTCCTTAATGCGCTGCTACGGCGATGGAAAATGGGCCCAGAGCGCGCCAAGGTCGCCATAAGCGTGGTATAAGCGTGGTGGACGTCGCGCTTGACATCGTGGCGTGGACAAGGACGCCAGACATCGTGGTGTAGTCGCCATGGTCGCCAATGATCGCCGAGTCACGGCGTTTGTTTTGAGCATGTTCAAAACAAACGCCAAGGTTCGGCGATCTGACCTGGAACGCGGTGAGAACAACGGTGGGGTCGCGAAGGTCGTGAGACAAGCGTCGTAACATCTCCATAAACGTAGTACACGCGCAGTACACGCGTGGCAAAGACGCTGCGAAAATGGTAACATTTTCAACGGCGAATTCATGGATCTGTCTCATCCGATCTGCCGATCTGTTTCATGCCGATCTGTCTCGGCCACGGCCACGGCCTCGGCCTATGGTAGCTTGTTTCTTCGGCATCGTGTTTCTACTCAGCAAACGCACAACTATACAGTTAAAATTTCCGAAAATCTGACCAGCTTATATAGTCGCCGTGAGAACGTGGTAGAAACGCCGTGAGGTCGCCGTGCAGTCGCGATACACGTAGAAGACGCGTGGTAAGAACCCCATGAGCGTAGTGAGAGCGCCGCGGGAACGCCGGTGATCGCCGTTGCCAAGCCCATAGATCTCAATAGAAACGCCATAAGCGCGGAGAGGTCGTGGCGGGCGCGCCGTGAGAACGCGGTATGATCGCACAGGTCGCGGTAAGAGCGCTGGTTTTTTTTCAAGTTTGTAATTTGTTGGGACTTTTTCTCGCGTTGTGTTCGCGTTTGCCGGCGACCTTGTACATTTTCTGGTCGCCGTACGGTCGCGGATGGTCGCCGTTCAGTGTGACGGGGTTATTAGTTCCGGTGTCGGGAAAACTGTTTACTGTGTACCAAATGTGGCTCCTAGTAAAGCAATACGCTAAGAGTCGGCAGTTGCCGGCGGATATCCGCCAGACATGTTGATGCTTGATGAGAGTTACGACGCGCCGCATGCTGATGAAATTAGACGTCAAAGATGATGAAAGCCGGCTATGTGATATGTCTATTGGCACGCTGCCAACTAGGTATCTTTTGCGAAACGCCGTCCGTGCTATTCATCGACCGCACGGAGAAAATCGAATACGCATAAAAAAAAAGTTATGGACGGAGTATGTTATTCTGAGATAGCCTATCCAGCGTGTTCAACAACGTTATTATAAAGTTACCGCAAAATTGCACACACAAAACTGGCGCGAGAGACAGAGAAAGACCTGGAATATCTAGAGACGGTAGGAAATAAACGGCATTCGAGGTGACGTAAGATAACGAGTGAGGCTGTGAGTCAGAAAGAAAAAGTAGGTGGGGGGACTTTATAAGAAATCATACGCGAGAGCGCTCACTACCAGCATGGTTTCATCTATTACTCGACGCATTTCACCACATCCTGTCGTTAATTAAATCACACAATGCTGGGTTATATTTCTCTAGTCCCGCCGTCCTGTATTCTCTACCCCCATAGTAGTCACACGCCACTACACAATGTTGACATTTCCAAAATGTTAGCATCCTCACTTTACGTGAACCATATCTTTTACTGGACTATATATCTGTACTCCAACCCCCAGAGTGTCCTCATATCACAATCCACCTCCATAATCTTCACATATCCTACCCCTTCAATTTCCGTATTCAACCCGCTCCCTACAATATCTATATTTTCTATCCCCGCAATATTCTCCCCCACCCCCCAATGCCCACATCGCCCACCTCCAGAACTTCCACATCCGCTGTTCCTACAATATCCGCATCTCCCACTCACAATATCCGCATCTCCCACTCACAATATCCGTATTCGAATCCTGGGCAAGACTCGCACCCCATCATGCAACGCGAAGCTCGCAGCCGCCAGCACCACAACTTCATACCCTATGCCTCCATTCCCATCCTGTTGCTACACCCCCGCAACGTTCGACCCGCATTCTCGCGTCCAGATTCTCTCAACTGTAAAAGCGTGGCTTCTGGGAAAAGTCTCGTTAACGCTATAATATCGCGACGGTCGGCTCTCTTGTCCAACTTTAACGGCTTTCCGCGTAATGCTCTCCCTCAGCTGGCAGTGCGCTGACCAGCTCACGACAGATCTTCAACCGCGCGCAAACCGAAACGTGGGTTTTTTCTACGTCTAGCCGTCTGGTTGCCTAGCACTATCGGTTTACCTAAAGCTTTACACGGGCGGCGAGGTTGCCCTTGATTTCACGCTAAATCGTCACCTCAGCCGCTCATACATGCGGCCGCCGCACATCTGCTAGTCACGCTCTCGAGCGCCCCGCCAGTCGAGACGTCTGTAAAGTCGGCTGTAAATATATTTTAAACGCGCCGAACAAAACCTAACGTGATGTTTTCGTTAACAGCTTACTCAGCTCTGTCTGTCCTATGTGGTGATGTCTGCATCGCAAGTACAATTCTTTCCTGTTCGTTTTACAACTGAGTTCGTCTATCCACTGCTTTACTTTCGTTCGCACCCATGTTTCACGTTTCACTAATCGACTAGTATAGTATGTTTGTTATTTCCATTAATTTGCTGTTTTCGTTTTATTATATAGACATGCAATTTCTCTTCACATTTTCGAAAAGTTGTTTTATAACTGCGTGTTAATTAAGTCGAAACGTAAACGATGCACTATATAAATTACACAAATTTGCCATAAACACATTATGCTTCGTGGTCTACCAAGGTGAGTATATTTCCATCTTGAATTTTTCAACACGACGCGCCAAGCACAACTCTCTCGATTTTATTCGCAAATAGCTGCTTATTTTGCTATATCTCATATTTTCTCATACTTATTTTAACAATTTATATTCGATAGGCGTCGAAAAGGCGCTATGGATTCGCAGGCGCGAAATCGCCGCAATATGCGATCACACATAATGGCTTGCCGCGTATATACACCCGTTTACATCTGTCAAGGACTCGCTGTTACGGACTGCGAGGTGTTGCCCTGTTCAGTTTGACTTTCTCGTCCACGAGTTTCTCGCGATCCTTGTGAATGTAGTCGTAGACGTTGGGCAGGTCGTTGACGACGCAGACGCTCAGCGCGCTGCGGAACACGCTCATGTCGGTCGCCTCGTACCACTCGTTGGCTGCCTCGTCGTAGCACTCTACGTGGTAGATGGTCGTGACGCCGTTGAAGCCGCCGACGACGAATATCATGTCGTCGATTATCTGAGGGAGAAATTTTTACGGTATGGCAAATTCTGATATATTGTCAAGCAGCGTCAAGAGTCCAGCAAAACAATGATAATTAGGACGACGATGGTGACGATGATGATGATGGTGATGATAATTATGCTGATGTTGATGATGATGAAGATGATGATGATGATGATGATGATGATGATGATGATGATGATGATGATGATGATGATGATGATGATGATTAGAATGGTTGTGGATTTCTGCTACTGTTTTGTGGATATATGCTACTAAAGTGGATTTTTGCTACTAATTTAGTATCACTTGCTACTAAATGTGGATTTCTGCTACTAATTGTGGATTTCTGCTACTAAATGTGGATTTCTGATACTCGCGTTTCCTTGAATCTTATTGGTTAGCCAAAGGATTGGTTGCTAAGAGACCTGTTTGTTTGAACAAGTGGTTTCTTTCAACAAAGACAAGGAATTTTCTAACACAGAGATTCTTAAGCTTCTGCTTTCTACTAAAATGTTCATATCTAAAAATAAATGCAAAAATTTTAATTAATTCTTTAATTCTAAATGCTTGAAACATTTTGCAGTATGCAATCTTTTAATTTAAATGATTCCACTGTTCATTGCTGAAAATCTGACATCCGAATAAATTACTTGAATAGAATAGTGAAATGTAATAGTATACCTAAATTAAAACAAAAACCAGAAGCAAAGAACATAAAGTATACGAAGATGTAATACAACAATATAATATAATAAAGAGAGAGAGCGCGCGAGAGAAAGAGCGAGAGAGATAGAGTGCGCGAGAAAGAGAGGGAGAGAGAGAGAGAGAGAGAGAACGAGAGCAAGTAGCCGAGAGAGAGCGAGAGAGAGAGAGAGAGAGAGAGAAGAGAGAGAGGACAAGAGAGAGAGAGAGCCAAATCGAGAGAGCGAGCGAGCGAGATTGATGGAGAGAGAGAGAGTGAGGTAGAGAGGTGAAGAGAGGGCGAGGAGAGCAAGAAGGCACGAGACCGATGAGAAGAGAGAGAGAGAAAGAGAAAGTGCGAGAGAGGAGAGAGAGCAGAGGGAGCGAAGAGAGAAACAGAGAGAGCGAGAGAGAAGAGAGTGTGTGTGTGATGTGTGTGTGATCGTGTGTGTGGTGTGTGTGAATGCGATGAGCGAGGAGAAAAGAGCGAGAGAGAGAGAGAGAAAGAGACGTGTGGTGAGAGAGAGAGTGTGTGTGTGATTTAAGAGACCGAGAGAGGGAGTGTGTGTGTGTGTGACTGCTGGAAGACAGGAGCACGAGGAAGCGAGAAGAGAAGAGAGAGAAGAGAGGCGAGAGAGTGAGAGAGAGAGAGCAAGAGAGAGAAAAGAAGAGCAGAGAAGAGAGAGAGTGCGAGAGACGAGAGAGAGAGAGCGCGCGAGCGGCGAGCGAGCGAGGAGAGAGCGAGAGCACGAGAGCAGAGAGAAAGCAGAGTACGGAGTGAAAGAGAGAGGAAGGGAGAGGAGAAGAGAGAAGAGAGAGAGGAGTGATGAGATCGAGGGAGACAGAGTCCGAGCCGAGCAAGAGAGAAGAAGCGGGAGAAGTGTGTGCGTCGTGAGAGAGGAAGAGAGACGAGAGAGCAGAGAGAGAGAGAACGACAAGACGAGCGAGGAGAGAGAAGAGAGAGAGGCGAGCCCAGAATTGCACGAGATCGGCAGAGAGAGAGAGAGAGAAGAGAGAGAACAAGCGAGCGCGCGCGAAGAGAGAGGAAAGCGAAGAGCGAGTTGTGCCGCGAGGAGAGGAGAAGAGAGAGAGAGAGAGAAATAGATACGAGAAAGAGAGAGAAGAGCGAGCGAGCGAGAGAGAAGCGAGCGAGCGAGAGAAGAACGAGCCGAGTGAGCGCGGCGCGGAGAGAGGTGCGAGAAAGCGAGAGATGCGAGAAACGAGGCGAGAGAGAGACGAGCGAGAGCGAGAGTAGAGAGAGAGAGAGAGAGATGAAGAGAGAGAGAGAGCGTAGAGAGAAAAAGAGAGAAGAGTGCACATGAGAGAGAGAAGACAGAGAGAGAGAGAGAGAGAGAGAGGAGAGAAAGCGAGAGAGAGAGAGAGAGAGAGAGAGAGAGAGAGAGAGAGAGAGAGAGAGAGAGAGTGCGAGAGAAAGAGAGACAGAGAGAGGGAGAGAGAAGAGCGAGCACCTAAATTAAAGCGAAAACCAGAAGCAAAGAACATCAGTAATAGATATCCGCATTTATGATAAATAACTTGTGGATATTTGCTACTATATCTATAAATAGATGATCATCACTTTTGGTGGAAAAACTTTACATTGGACAAATAAAGCAATAGGTCACTATTTATAAAAATTTAAGTGTGCAAATCGCGCCTTCTGATGTTTCTCTAAATGAAATAACAGTATTTATATTTTATTCAACTAAATATGCTCTAAAATCTAGAATTTCAATATGTGGATATATGCTACTATTCCCCATGTGGATACCTGCTACTATTCAATTATGTTAATTAAAGTGCTTTAATTGAGCAGCAGAGTTAAAATCTTTTCATAGTATTGTTTAATGTTACCCTTTCTTCCATTGTATAAATTTTTGTAGAAAACTATATGTTAGCCCCAAAAATAATTTCTTAGCTGTCTAAGCTTTTTGGATAAGAAGAGTGCCATAAGGTAGTATATACTTTTAGTGCATCTTCACTGAAAATCTATTTTCCTGAATATGGTGGGTATTGATGAGTATTTGGATTTTGTTGCTATTTACAATCTAACACATATCCACTTAATTCATAGCTTTATTCACTTATCATAACTAGCTGAATTGGAAAATGTGGATTTTTGCTACTAAAAAACATTCAACGTAATGATTTTCTAATTTCCAGTCCAAAATTTCCTGTTTTTATATTATTACCTCCGCCAGGGGCTTGGCGGAGGTTATGTTTTCACCGGCGTGTGTTTGAGTGTTGGTTTGTGGGTTTGTGGGTTTGTGTACGCTCGCTGATTGGCTGATTGGCCCGCCACCGCCATACAGGTGTGGGTACAAGAGATAGCCGCTCATAACATGTTTTTAAAGTAAGTGGTGCGTAACTGCGCGTATACTAGGTATCTATGTGTCTCACCTCGACAGCGAAATTGCTTCTCGGCGTATACATATCAGGCACCGACGTCCAGGAGTTCGTCTGCGGGCTCCATCTCTCCACGGTGCACATGCGCGAGATTCCATTGAAGCCGCCCAGCACGTACAGGCAGTTGTGATAGGCGATGCAGCTTACCCCGCTGCGGCGGTTCCGCATCGGGGCTATGACGGTCCACGTTTCCGTCTCCGGGTCGTAGTACTCAGACGTGAGTAGACACTCTTGACCGTTGAAGCCGCCCGTCATGTAGATCTTATTGCCCATGACGGTGGCGCACGCGTCGCTGCGTTGATAGTGCATTGGCGCGATAATGCTCCACTGGTTCGTCGTCGGGTTGTAGCGCTCTGCCGTGTTTAGTCGCGAGTGGCCGTCGAAGCCACCCATGGCGTAGATGTAGTTGTCGACCTGGGCGACGCTGACGTAGCAGCGGCGAGAGTTCATGGGCGCCACCTCCTGGTACGTCTTATTTGCCGGGTCGAATACGCGCACGCTGTTGAAATACTCGACTCCGTCAAACCCGCCGATGATGTAGATGCGCTTGTCGAGCACGACGGAGCCGTGGTAGGCCCTGGGCCCGATCTCGTCCACGGTGTCCACCTTAACCCAGCGATCTGCCCGCGTATCGTATGCCTCCAGTAGGTTGGTGGGGCTACCGCCACTCCATCCTCCGATCGCAAACATGATTTCGTGCGGAACTCTCGGTTTTGCTAACGGACTCTCTATTAACACGGATTCGCTCTCTTTGTCCTCCTTCCCGTCTTGCAGCGACAAGCCGAGGTCGTAGAGAAACTTAATCGTTTCGATTACCAGCGTCCTACAATCTTCGTTGTCCTTCACGTACGGGTGACATTTTACCTTTTCGACGAAATAGTTGGCGTCGAGTAAGCCGAGGCGCACGGTGCCCAAAAGTTTGGCGATATATTGCTTACGCGCCTCGGCGTCGTGATCAATCCATCGCACGATCGCCAGGAAACAGATCTCCTCGTTGCGGACGTTCAGCTCGTCGGAGTCGATCAACTCGTGCAGTTCGTCGGTGCTCAGCTCTAGGTACTCGTCGTTGCGCTCGGCTATCTCGGGAAAGTTCTTCATGATGTACGAGTGCGCCCTCCTCTCCAGCCCCTTACAGAAGTACGCGCGCGCGAACGACCGGATGCTGAAGCAATTCGTGGCGTCGATGCGATCATTGATGAAGTCGCAGCATTCGCGTACGACGCCCATGATGTTCAGCTGGTCAGCGGCCGCCAGGAGTCGCTGCACGGTGCTCTCCGTGATGCAGCAGATACGCGTGTAGGCAAACTCGATGATGATGGCTAGCATCTCGGCGTCGACACCCGGTATGACGTAGTCGCGCTGTGTCCGGTTGTCGTCGTCGTTCATGCTGTTAGTGAATAGCGCCCGAAAGTAGGGACTGCAAGCGGACATGATGGCCCGATGCACCTGGAACTCGCCTCCGTCGCATTTGATCAGCGCATCGCATAACTGACCGCATTCTCTCATCTCGCGCAACGTGTTCATCGCCTGGACACTGAGTGTCCGGCCACGAGACAGGGATGTCGACATGACGACTTTGCGTTTATTTGGACGTCTTATTTGTGGCAACCTCAACGAGGGCCATAAACAAGAGCAGTCCAACGTTATCATAAACACAATACAGCGTTACAAACGAGAAATGTGTTGATTATGCCCGCAGTCCCGGTAACCGTCGCGTAGCAACTGTGGCGTGAGTTAGCAACAATTGTATTTTATTCGCGTAAGCATTTTCGCGTGTGATCGTGAACAAAGGCTGATCGAACAAGGATAGGGAAAATAAATGCCAGAAAATATTATTTAAGCGTAGCGCACGCGGCATGTCGGAAACCGTCCTAGAAGAAGTAGATAGCGAAGATTTTGAGCGAAAGCAAATACAAGAATGCATTTACAACCTAATTCCTGTTCCTGCTTTAAAACTTGGCGCATTGTATGCTTATTTTGCAGACAAGAACGAAGCCGATCGTATTGATTTCGATAATTTAGCAGAGAGTAGGCTAGCCGATACGTATCTGCATTTATACAGGTACAACTAAACTCTGGTATATGCGCGATGACGCCTCAGTGCGAAATGAATATAATTGGCCAGCGTAAACACATAAGCATTAAATTATATTATTACTATTATAAACAAGCAGCTTTCCTCGTTAGAAACGATTATCTAGGCACCTGGAATGTACTCATTAAATATTAAAATAACAAAATGGTAAATGTCATTTTAACGTTTTGTGTAAATTTTAAAACAATGTTTTCGGTAGATATAAATTATTAATTTGTTAAGGAATTAGAACGTATTTAGCTCATAACTGGGATGTTTCACAAGCATTAAATTAAGCAGCACTAAAATTAATAGAACTTAAAACCGTGCAGGATCGTGAAAGCAGCGCTGGAGTCATGGGATGATGTACAGAACACTGAAGGCGCGCCGGGATGCGATAGCGACCTGATAGAAGCTTCTTCCAATGAAAAGCTGATTCCAGAATTACAATGCCTGGTAATAACATTAGAGCACCTTCTCCGACCATGGCAGCGGCGCATACGCACAGGCCGGACACGTCGACACAGCAGTTAGGACGGGGAGATACACTGAATAACGAAGACTAAGATTATAATATTTCAGTAACCACAAGTTTGTATAATCTTGATTTTTACTTCCATCGCTCTGTCGTCTTGATTACACGGGCGGCACTAATGCCAAGCTATCTGTATAAAGTGTCGTAATTTAAAATGACAATCATAAAACAGCAAAACCATTATTTTTCGCGCTTGAATATTTGACTTGGGAAATCGTGATTGAAAGGAAATATACATACGACCAAATATGACGGAAGGCTAAAATTAGCTGCAAATTATTGTAATAAATAGCTGGTGTATTGCTAAACTACTGTTTAATCTGCTCTATTGTTTCGCATGAATACAAATCTATAATGATTCGAGAATGGCCTAATCTATAATCAAACTAAATTATATATTTACACATTACTCTTGTTAATGATAAAAATAACGATATGTTGATAATATGATGAATCACTGATTACAAAAATCAGCACACGCAATCTCCCCCCTTCTCTCTCTCTCTCTCTCTCTCCCTCCCTCTCACTCATTCGATCTCTCTCTCTCTCTCTCTCTCTCTCTCTCTTCGCTCGCTCTCTCTTTCTCTCTTTCTCTCTCTCGCTTCACCTCTCTCTCTCTCTTACTCTACGATATACCGATATACGAGCGCGCATGCACATGCACGCAGAATCTATATTATACGTACGTGTACAATGGGCCAACTATAGAAGTAAGGTTACACATTTACTGAAAGACGCTGAGATTGCTGGTTGCTACAACCATCGATCTGTACAAAACTGTAGTTTACTATTGACAATCATCTATTATTCTTCATGCAGAGGAAGCACGAACGACACTGGCGCAGTTACCTGATAGCTTTGCCTTTCATTTAATTGTCACAGCAGTTTGGCTCAACCGCAGAATGATATCGTTGCTCTCACATTACAGCATGAATCGTACGTGAGCTACGACATGCCTTTATCGGACGAATCGTATGAACTAAACATACCGTCTAGGAATTAAGTTGAGAAATCTTCCGTTAATTACCATGTAACGTTTGAAACGTAATAGATGTACCTAATAAATGATTAATTATCCTGTGCGAGTGGCCAGAGCAAGACTAGAATACAATAGGTATGACTAGGCACGTTGTATTATGTATGAATCGCTCAGTATAGCAGCAGGGGAGTAAATATTACAAATGATGCGACAGAATCAAGGTCTTGTGTTTCACGCACATCACGTGATTTCCCTGAAGTCCGAACGAAGCTGTCTGCACGAACTAATATGAAGCAAATGCAATGACGATTAACATAGCATGGATGTATGTCTACTCAAATTTGTCTTGACGTTGGTCTTCATACGAAATTCAGCATGTTCAAAACCTCGGCAGCCGTCGGTCGCTCGCAAGGATCCGGATTCGTACACTTTCGGATGACGTCACGCAGCTAAAAAAATTGAGAATATATCAGATATTGGAGATACAACAGGCAATAATTTCAAATGAATTAAGTATATCAGCATTTAAAGATAAGGGTAAGATTTTATCAGCTGCAGCCTGCTAATGGCTAGTCAATGGGTTTTATAATGCATCATAGTACTGATATGTCACACGTAATAAAATACAGCATGCGTGGAGCACAAAATTACGTGCAACCATTGCTTTAGTTGCAGCGACATTATGAAATGTGTTGTTAGCACTGTCATTGGCTTCACACATGTTGCTGATGGTGCAGCTGGAATTTTTGAATCAGCGATGGTGTGGGTTTAAGGTGGAAATGGAGTTTCGGGTTGGGAAGGTGGAGTGGCGTGGTCGAATAAGTCCCCTAATTAGCATAATTATGATCTGCGTTTATAGGCAAGAGGGGAAATCGTGATTTTTAGCTGGTCGGACTCATATGAAATTACACTGAATAAATTGTTTTACAGTCTAGGGCCTTTGCAACGCATTAGTAAATATCTGTTTACTTTAATCAACACGACATTTTCTGCACAGTAAATTTAATCTCAACGCTGCTCGCACTCGGCAATAATACCAATGCGGACCGTGATTGCAGAGCGCAGTTTACCTAATAAAGCCCGGCGCACACGTGAGTAATTTTACCCAAGTAAAATAATGCATGCGTCAAAATACTCGACGAAAATCCACCGCACACGTGAGCGTATTATTTTGACGGAAAGTGTTATGTTCGCAGTGTGAAATATATAATCTATCAAGAGCTATGCATAGGCCTATCTAGCGTACTATTTCGAGCTGGCGCTCCTCATGAGTCAGACCGTCGGGCAGCTCGAGCAGGCTGCTCGCAGAGCCGGCACGTATCGTGTCCTTCTCCGTGTCGACGTGCAGCAAACCCTGCACGCCCGAATCAGGCGTCGTACGGTCGGCTGTCGCACGGGCGCCGTCGTTGTGCAGTGTAACCATCGCCGATGTCGTCGGCGGGGTGGCCGTCGACGACACCGATTCTTCGGTAAATACGGGATTCTCCATTTTACCTAGATAATGATTTTTCACGTGTCACTGTAATACTGTATATATACTTGTTATAAATATACGAAGCAATCGCGGTTAACGGCACGTTGGCTTACGAGAGTGCATTCACAGCCGTCACCCCCGTTCACCGCACAGCACGAGATGTCGCGAATCTGGCACGAAAACACGGTGTTTGTCGAGGTTCGGAGCAAATCGAATCAGCGGACAGGTGTACACACCAACCATAATTGTCGCCTGCTGATTACAGAGACTACGGTCGATGTATAACCTGCATGGGGAAAATGTTAAAGGCAAGCACAGGTACGGCTGCACCGATTGTTAGCCTCGTATGCACGCAGAAACGCGCATGCGTGGTACGGGGGTCGAGTGTCGTTTTACGAAAATCGAACTATAAAATCCATGTCGATCGCTTTGCTATATTTGATGGAAAGCGAGATCCGCTACGTCAGAATCTATCAACGTGCTCAAAGAATTCATCAGCAGAATGGAGATAACGGAATAACTCATGGCATTTAAGTCGATATTCTAAATGTGTGCTGCGTTTATAATTAATCATAGCTCCAGTACGAAACGCAACTTTATGAATATTTTTGGCATGGAATGAGATCAATACCCAATGACTCGTGAAAGTGTATTAATGTATTCATTTTTTTTTAAATATTCCTTCAATGCAAATGATACGGTTTTGCTAAATACTTTAATGGGAGTTTTTGTTTTATAGAATTTTACAGCGTCAACTATAACACGACCCTTAATTTCGCTTGAAGCGCTCTGCAAACCCCATAATGCTGCGTTTACTCTATCGATTTTTGTCAGCAAATCGTCCGAGTCGTGCAAAATAGAACACGTTCTATTTCTCCAATTCGGCGACTTGACTCCGACTCCGACTCCAACACAATCGAATATCAGCCGATTAGTTGGAATGCACTGCTTAACACTGCTTAACACTGCTTAACACTGCATTATCGCTCCATAAATTTTTGTCACTGACCGGCTGGTTCATCGTCGGTGTTATTAATTGATATTGTGGGCATAAACGTACGCGAGGAGGTGATTCGACAGTGAACTGGTCACATTGCTAATAAACGTATTTTTTGTTTTTACATTCTATAACTTCAACCACATAAGGATGATCATGATCACATCGGTTATAGATAGGCTGTCGCATGTGCGACAATGCCGCTTTAAAGTTGATAAATTGAGCGAAGCAAACGATAATTGTCTCGTTTGAAAATTCCGAACACTCTGTTTGATTAAACCTTGCTAACATGCATCACGTGGCAATGTGCCCGCGGGGATGCCACGACCTATGTTCGTGTCCAACACGCACACGTGGCACATGAGCGACGCTCACTCTCAATCCCAGACGAACAATCAATCCACCGACCGACCACAAAGCATCGCCCGTGGGCACCCGACTTTACAGATTTGTCTCCGTCCTTAATTTCCTTACGGTCCATGGTAGTTACGCTCGTCTTAATCGAGACCACATCATGGCGGACAAAATTGCGTCGCAAACTTATGCGCTTTACGCTAATGTGGACACATTGCGGTGAAAGTGCCAAACAATACATATTATAATAACGGCGTGGACACCGGATTAGCGGGTTTTCCGCCATATTCCACAATCTATAGTTCGCAGTGATTTCCCTTCTCTCCCCGAAAGGATGATACGATACAGAATGATAGATTCTATGTGACCGCGACCGCGAGAAGCCATAGAAATCCTGTGCAAATAAATCGCGCGTTATATAAAATTAGCCGCAAATGCACTGAATTCTTGCGTGAGTTATGATCTCTATACTAATAGAATACTGCAGCTGTGTGATTTAAATAAATAAACATACAACAACACCAACCACATATATATAATTTTATAGAACAACAACCACGCTCTTCGCTTGTCGTGAATATTGCTAATAAGCATACGTGAAAGTAGATGCGCATACCTGAACTCAGAAGGTGCGTGGTCTCCTCTGCAACGATGCTACTCCGATCTCCAGCATCCCTACAAACATCATGTCAACAGTGCTCAGATATACGACGCACACATAGACAACGCTGTCTACAAAAACACGCACAGATACGGACAAGCGCAGCTGTCCCCTTTTGTGCTACTGTTCCCATGCATCGTGCAACTGGGAGCAACCGCAATAAAACCTCATGACATTGTGCCGATGTTTACGTAATAATAGACCAATTATGCGTGAGCGATATACGTGTGTGTGCGTGCGTTTATGCATGCGTGTGCGCGTGCGTGAGTGGGCGCGTGCGTGCGGGTGTGTATCCGTTATTGTTATTATTCGAGGCGGGGGTTCGGTTAAAGTCCCACCACGACATTGTCTATCGCCTATACTCTGCACTACACGGCTCACTGTCCAATGCATTGCCACATAGCCAACTGCCGTACAGTAACGCACACGCCAACACACAGTTTCAATACGTATGACTACAAACCTGTTCAATTCCACGTAGCTGTCTGCGCCCCGCGCGTCATGCGGTGTATTGCTCGCATGCATGACTCCTAACGCGAACTAGTGCAATTGCGGCAATTTTATCCACATTACCGTGAGAAAATACGACAGAGGCGTGACCCATCGGTGCATCGCGCTATCGTTAGATTAATTATAGGCATAACGTTGTTTCACGTGCGTACACGCACGTAAACAACAGCCATATAATTTTCGCGAAACGAAATATTATTCTAGCGCGATATATGAATGGAAACGCTTGCGCTTGATCATCACGCGCTGCTGTATGTATATTATTATACATTATAGCACCCAGACAACAAAAATGCGTCGCGTCATGGCGCCATTGTTTGACATCTCGCAACTCTTGCATTTTTAAAGCACATATGTCGATATCTATTCGTACATCGCATGTACCTGTGCCTAGTGCAGGTGCAGTGTATTGTGGGTGACAGAATAAAAAAGCACTGCATGGGAACATTAGAGCGAAATCGATGATACGAAATGACTAAATGAAGTCAATTTATCCTTTTCGTCGACAGTGAGCCTTGGTCTATAAAGGCAGTGGCAGATTTGGGGGGGGGGGTAGATTGGGTGGCTAGCCAAGTCCCTGTGTTGGACTAAGAATATTTTTACACATATACCAATTAATTATTGCGAAGTATAATATTCGCGCGGCTGTACAAAAAGGCACCTGATGCATGGGTTAAATTATGTAATTGAGTAGCAAACCAGGTTACAACCCTTTTGCAGCTTTTTCACAATTCCAAGAAAGAGTTTTGCTGTCGCCCTCATCCCAGCGGTGGTCACACACACCCCCTACATATTCAATAATGAATGCCCCCACCCTGTACATCAATCAATCATTTTCAAAATTTTCGGGGGGAGGACCCCCATGCCCCCCGCCTGTTTCTCACCACCCTCATTGAAATCCTGGCTCCCCCACTGAAAGGATATGCTTTATGAGGTTGTGGGGTTACCTCGTGCTACCCTCGTAGCTTCCCTCGTGCGCTCGTACTCACGCACGTGTTCACGCATTAGTGAACAGCAGCATAGCTTAATTTAGCGCAGATATTTAATCCACGTGATTACACTGGCAACATTTCATGCGAGAGAACGGCAGAGGCATTTGCGAGCGTACGCGTATTCTATACCACTGTATGCCGAGGATCACACATTATTCAGCATTATTATGAAAAGGAAACACACACGCGCGCGCGTGCCTCGACTCGCACACATGTGTGCGCGCACAGTCCCACACACGCACGCACACACACACACATACGCGCGCGCACACACACACACACACGCGCGCACGCACACACGCACACACACACGCGCGCGCGCACACACACACACACTCGCACACATGCACGCACACAAATACACACATACAAAGACACGTACGCGCACACACACGCACGCGAACACACTCACACACACACGCACGCACGCATACACACATACACACGCACACGCACGCACGCACGGACGCACGCACACACACAAACACGCACACAAGCCATACACGCATTTACGCACACGCACGCAAGCGCGTATAGACCAAATAAACGCATTCACTAACATATACACGCGCGCGCCTATACACTAGAAACACGTAGACCCATTAAAGGCATTCGCACGCACGCACGCGCACACGTACCCCCAATACACACATGCCCATACGATCGCACGGGTGGGTGGGCGCACGGCCGCACGCACGCACGCACGCACTCACACGAGCGCGCCTGCGCACACAATCAACGCTGCAACTTTCATCGCTGTATGTAGCTGTTCCCGCTTCCCCATCCGGCAGCGGCAGATCAAGGCAGCCGTCAACATCTTCCGCGATCGTTTTTTTACAGTGACACGACTAAACAAACTTCCGAGTTGAGTGGATGAATGGTAAAATTGCGCCAAAGCATGTCTGCCCGCCGTGTTTTTGGAAACGTTTTCTCGCGCACGTACTACTACTACTGACATAATACCAAGAGTACATACTAGGAGACTCCTCTTAGGAAATCTCCTATTATGTACTCTTGATAACCTGATAATACCGAACTGTTTGTATCGATTAGGTAACAAAAAAATCTCATTGCCAGCGCGCACATGTCGCCCCGTCTGTCTGCCCTTTCTCCGAGTACATTTCGCGTTTGTGGCCGCCTCACTAGGTCTCTTTGCGCTTGTATCTGTCTGTCGCTTGGCTAGTCTGCAAGTCTTACCCTTTGTCTACCCGTATGTGCGCCAGTCATCCGTCACTCTGTCTGACTGAGTCTAATCATATCAACTTTTCTACTTGTCTCCCTTTCTTGAATCCCTCTCTATCTCCACACCTCTCTCGATCTATTTCCCCCTCGTTGCCCTATGTAATTCTAAATATGGCTGAAAATGGTCTAAATGTTTAACGATAAATGAGAAATGTTCTCTAAAATATCTACCCATGCATTTTCTCTAATGACGAGCAACTGGTGTTCTCCGTCGATTCATCCGTTATGCTCGCAAAAGCCACGTGCTTCCATTGCCTCGGCCACCTGTTTTTTGTCGCAGCAGATGACGTAATGTGTTCGTGGCCATCACGCCTAACTTCCTTAGCGGTGGGTGGCGACGCTTGCCGCGCACTGTCGTTAATCCGGTTCGACGAACTGCTGTGACTGATTTGCGTCACCGGCTGCGCTGGGTGAGTGTAAGACAGCGCCGGACAACTGTCGGACGGCGGAAACCTGGAGTGTGCAACACCTCCGTATCCATATCTGCCGTTCCGGATCGATATCAGGTCTGGTTCCTCGCAAGCTGACGCAGTTTTGACGTTGCTTTCAAAGGGGTACAAGGGCGGATCATCAGCGGAACATAGTCGTGCTTTCCCCTGTAACGACATACAGTTGTATAAATCGACGTTAATAACGACGACAGTGTAAATAGGAGCTTAATTAATAATTAAAATTAAAATTACCAATAGAAATTGCTACTATATGCATATGTGCGAGCATGAGTGAGTATGGGAGTGGTGTATGCCTACAGGGGCCTTCAATTATATTCCCGTACGCATGTTGACCGAATACCTCTCACTAGAGGCTTACCACACGAGTGCTCAGGATACATTTGACTGGATATTGTATTTGCCTATTGCTAAAATGTTTCCTATGAACCAATCAATGCATTAAAAAATACAAGTTCTTAAAGCGTCTATGACACTAATTGTCATATAACCTTTCAGTTCGTGTGTTTATTTATGCCCGAACATCTTCGCATCCCTATGCTTTGCACAGACAATTCAATAATGGTAAAAGCAATATGCCGGTTGCGCGCGCCATCTGGCAGCAGAAAGCGTGCGTGTTTTCAGTGATTACGTGGACACCGATTACGGAGACTACGCGGCAGCGCTCCTAAAGGTATTAAACTCCTAAATCTGCCAAGCCACGCTGAGACAGGTGAAATAATGAGATCTTTGGCGGATGTGTTCAAAGGATACGGTTTTATCTCTTTGACGAAACAGACTGTACGAGATTTCTTGTTATTATCGGAAACTGGACTTTTTGTTCTATTTGCTGGGGTGATGGCTCTTCCCGTGAGCATTCGTGTGGCGACCCAATAATGCATACACGAAACATTTCAACAAACATACTTTTCAGTGTAAAAAAAACATAAATAATCGCTTTCACTAAAACAGAATATTATTTAATTCAACAAAATATATGTTGTGCCTTGCAAGGTAACGTTATCGATGGCATTGAAAAGTGAATCTGGCTGGTTTATTGGATAGAAATATTTTTTTAGCTTAGTGGCCGCCAATGGCAAATAAATGCCCATCGTGATAAAACCTGAAGTCATAGGCAACGGCATATATATCAAGAGTACATAATAGGAGATAATCTCCTATTATGTACTATTGATATATATCTATATATAGATATGCGTGCTGTCTAAGTTTAGCATGGTGTATAAAAAGTATCCTTGCGTATGCTACAGAAAGCACCTAATATAAATGATTGCGGTTAATAAAATAATGGCATAGAATAGCTGGTAATTGCGCTTTTTGTAGGTTATAAAAGAAATGTGAGAATGTCACAGATAAAGTTGATAATTATAACCACTTAATATTGGTTTCATCTTGGCAAATTTAAAATCAACGTTATAAACAGGGAAATGTTTTACCTTCTAAACTTGAGAAAAATATCTGCATTAATAAAATAAAGCCGAGAAACATACATCAATATAAAAAAGCAAATATTCATAATGTCGAATTGAGAAATGACTATAAAATATCAAGGGACTCAGCAATACAAATAGAATCTGTTAGAATCTATAGAATCTATAGAATCAGGGATACAAATAGAATCTGACGTTGACATGCCATTATTATAACCATTCATTGTCTTTGCAAACAATGGAGGCGAACTGTCACCAAATTAAATCGTGTTTACCAGTCACAGTGATAAAAGAAACATAAACGGGTGTCATGTTTATTAAAACAACATTATTCAGGTAGAAAATATTTATTTTATACCGCAGTATAAAAACATGCGCAATATTTGTTACTACTACATCTGCTATGCAGCTCTGCCACCAGTGCTCCTACTATTGCTACTACAGCTACTACTACTACTGCTACCGGTATTGCTACGGCTAATACTAGGGCTACTACTATACAACATTACTACTACTGCTGCTGCTGCGACTGCTGCTGTTTGCGGTTTTGGAGCAGAAGATAACTCCGAGTTCTAGTGTATGTACATAGTGACGGAAACCTCTAGACAGCTGGCAATGGTGTTTGCCGAGCGCTATCAAACTGCAAGACAAATTTGCGGCGAAGAGAAAAACTTACTCATTAAAATGTAGCTGTCAGAAGTTAAACAAGCTAAAAATATAATAACTAATTCGAGGGCGGGTTGGTTCATGATAAGGCCGCGGCCACGGAGCTGGGGGAAAGCCGCCATGTGACTCGTGACCACTAGTCTCGCCGGCTGTAGTATTACGGTATTTGTCACGTCGCGTTCCCCTGCCGGCTAAACGGAGGAACAGCAGCCGGTATATTTAAGCTGTTGCCAGCATTCGTGGCAGCAATAGTTAGGCTGGCACATGTGGCTGAGGATGGCATGAATTTCATGATAAGCGGATATACTTACTGGGAATTTTGAATCATTTAAAAAAAATGTTGGTCTCTACTCGGTTGTTAAAACGTCTGTCAAAAAATTGCAAAACACAGATGAGGCGCATGCCTATTTAGCTTTAATAATGCCTTGCATCCAGTAATTGTCCTAATAGCTATCTTCTTCTTCTTTGATTTTAAATCCTAATTATAGAATTCTGTTGAGAATAATTATAATAGTGATCTCGTCCCATATAGGCTGATCAATTGGACTATAGATGGCGCCACCTGAGCCTTCACCAATGTAAGCTGGTTCTACACGAACACGCAATAGAACTTAATAACTAGAGCTTGATTTGTGAAAGCAGAGTTAACGACATTAACCAGAGAGTATGTGCGAGAGACAGGGATTATTGACATATACTAAACAGAGAGTTTAGGGAGAAACGAAGAATATGAGAACATAGAAGAGGGGGAGAGCTAGGTTGTATAAAGAGGGACATAGAAAAGAGGAAAGGGGAAAGGGGGAGAAATGAGGAGGCTAAATACCAAATACGCAAACTAGTGGGAAATAATAGGAGGAGGGAGTGACTGATCATGACAGACTGTTTGTATGTACGTGCGAGCGGGCCTGTGAGTATGTGCGCATGCTAGAAAACACGCTGAAAAACTCCGTGAGGCTAATGTCAATATTTTCGTTGTATTACGGCAGCTTGCACAAACGCGCGGCTAGTTTTTGCGAGCTTTTCATCGTGTTCGGTTTTAGATCTGTTATCCACTCTGTTTGTTAAAACGTCACTCGGTCTTTTGAGGGTTTCAGCCCATTTTTCGGAAAGACGGAAGCCATGATTTCCGCCCGTAGACTTTCAATGACTCCAGCGCGTTCATGAGGCTTGACGCAACGGAAGTGCCAACAAAGAAGCCCTGTTGTAACAGTATCTAGCAATCGCAAAGCATTATCGCATAAAATGAGTGGCTAAATTAGGTGTTAATTAAGTTCATAGGTTGAATAATGGCTAAGGCTCAGGTACTACTTGAACGTAGGGGACATTGCCGCCAACTATACTCCTATAATTTTTTTAATAGCTGAAATAAAAAACTGGAATGATACCATGAAATCAAGACTTGATGAAATTAAACATAGCCGCTAAATTACGATGAAACAGCCCAGGATTAGCGAGCGTCCCTGGAATCGGAATAAGTTCTAAGCATATCTTACTCACAAAACTATGTAGCAGGAAATCTGTTGCATAAGAACCAGATAGAGACAGACCGATATTTAACGTATTTTACGTTTAATTAGAATGTGACTTTTACGATTATGGGGCTATTTGGGTAGTATATGACCTATAACAGCTATATAACCATGCGATTAATACAATTGATTAGAAGCCAGATTACTACTGGGTTATTACGGGTTCACGGTACTGACAAAAAATGTCTGATGGGGTCGTGGGGCCAAAAAGGTTAAGAACGACTGCTTTACCACGTATCGCTCGACAGTGCAGCTATGACGACACGCGGAGGGCTAGCGCGCACGTATACGTACCCTATGTTGCTCGGGATCAGCCGTGCTCCGCTGCCACATGGGGTGGTCGGCATCCTCCATCGTACGCGTCGTCACGCGAGCGGGCCGACTGTCGTCAACACTCACAAGTATCTGCTTGAACGCCTTCATCGCGGACGGCAGCAGCGGCGGCGGCTCTCCTGCGAGCAAGCACGTGGTTATAGCGTGTGTGAACAACTCACATACATGGCAAACGTCGTCTCCCGTGATTAATGACTACGTACATGGCGTCGTTTCGTAATTTCCCTCATCGGCGTGGGCGCAACTGTTATGTAACACTGTGAATTCGGCGCATTAAATGCAGCTGGAATTCTTACGTCGTCAAAACCGTGCATCGTGCACGCGTCGGTCCGTTCCTGATATGCTCTACGTTGACGTATGGCATTACATAGTTGTTATCGATGCACTCACTATGGGGCGGTCAGAAGCGCACTTTGTACTCGTTCTACTCGTTCGTGCTCCGCACGTTCACGAAAGACCTGCATCGGAAGGCGACAGCTCGGAGCAACGACGCATCATCGCATACGGCCGGGATGCTCAAAGAATCAGCGAAATTACAAGCCAAGTAATGCGTGAAGACATGCATGGTAGTGGCTGCTGCCGTCCCGCGTATCGCGTATAGGTTCCACGGGGTCCCTACATCTCGCGTGCTGCGCAATCATTGATTTTTTGGCGGTGCTTTGAGTTATTGTGGTTCAGCTCGCGTTCTTTGCCTTCGTGGCCTCGTTTACGCATTGTCGCAGGCCAGGGGGAGAGGCGACTATCATGCAGTATAGTCCGAATGCATCGAGCATGCTGTTGTTGTGGATGCGCACGCGCGCATGTGTGGGTCACTTTCACATTATTATATGTAGTCTGTTTCATTACATTACTATTAGCACAATGTCGCTAGGGTTTTCATTTTCATGGCTAAAGTTCCAGTCGCATTAGTGAGGTGCTAGCAACGAAGAGGTACTGTATGTACTTTCATAATTATACGCGGGCTTGCAGGCGTATGTGTAATACGTGTTTACACGCGTACGTGTGCATATATATTATGGTCTAATCGACCTTGACCGTATGTGGATTGGCTGAACCGTTGTGAAACGAGTCGCTTGCATACGGAGTAATTATTTATAATATTATCTTATTATTAATAATATCAGAAATAAATTAACATTCTCAATACTCGTAGAGTCGTAGTCACTACTGCTTCTGAAAATATCACACATATGCAAAATTGAATTGCGCGCTAGGTCATCCTGCTTGCGCAGAGAGCAGCGGAGAGCATGCTCTCATGGCCGACCGATTCATCAGCAATTCAATGCTCGCGCAAATGTCAGCTTGCTGGTAATGAGTTCGTATAGTTGTGATAGCGCGTACATGGTTATCGTCGTAATTGCACGATTCAGTTCAGTGGGCGCCGGTGGGGATGGACGTTGGTTGTATAGTGTGTGGTAGCATGTGGGAGCGTGGGTGATGTTGGGTGGATTCACAGAAATACATAGGTATCGTCATGAGGATGGCTAGTATATTATTACCATGGGTAGATTTCTCATCTAGGTGGGTGATTAGGCAGGGGGTGTAGGTGGATTCGTTATAGGTGAGTGGGTGTGGGTAGGGAAGTGTAGATGGATATTCATTATAAGCAGCGGAGTATAGGTAGGGAAGTGTATGTGGATTTCTTTTAGGTGGGGTAGTAGGTAGGAAGATATTGCTGTATTCCTTCGAGGTGGAGGTGTGTAGGTATGGAAGTGTAGGTGAATTACTTCTAGGTGGTGTGTGTGTGTGTGTGTGTGTGTGTGTGTGTGTGTGTGTGTGTGTGTGTGTGTGTGTGTGTGTGTGTGTGTGTGTGTGTGTGTGTGCGTGTGTGTGTGTGTGTGTGTGTGTTGTTGCTGTGTGTCGTGTGTGCGCCGCGCGCGCCGTTTGCTGATGTGTAGCTGATGTGTGTGTGGGTGTGTCGTGGGTGTATGGTGTATGTGTGTGTGTGTGTGTGTGTGTGTGTGTGTGTGTGTGTGTGCGTGTGTGTTTGTGCGTGAGGGAGTGTATGGGCGCGTACCTCAGCGAGCGATAGGTGCGTGGGTACATCTAATGTACTAATGAGCAAACAATAGGCTTAAACAATGAGATCCCTGAGATGAAGCCTTGACGTAGGTAAGTATCAGATAAAGCCAGGTAGTCTCTCCACAACACAAATATAACGCATTAAGAAACGGCAGTCAGCAAGAACCGACAACATACCACATCAGAAATTCACGCACACAGGCACGCACGCACGCACGCACACAGACACGCACGCACGCACGTACATTAGCCCACATGCACAATTCTACGCGGAATACTATGGAAGGGGATGTGTCAAAATTCAAACGTTCAATTGATCGATTGATTGTTCAATTGAACAGTCAATTTAATCATTCAAACTTTCAATTGATCGATTGATTGTTTAAATGAACAGTCAATTTAATCATTCAAACGTTCAATTGATCGATGATTGTTCAATTGAACAGTCGTTTAATCATTCAAACGTCAATTGAGCCAATTAAATAACGAATTGCAAAATTGAATGCGCGCGAATTGACGATTTGACAATTGACGAATTGACAAATCAAAGGCACGTATAGGCGTATTGAATCATGGAATGGAGCAATGCCGAGGCTCGTCCTATCGAGCAATTGCCGAGGCTCGTCAATCGAGCACTTGCCGAGGGTCGTCTATCGCCAATCAACGTATACCTACTGCACATGCGCACAGAGGCATGACGGAAGGGCGGTACGCGCGGTACGTTCGCTAACCGGACGCAAATCGCCGGCGTTTCCCAGCTAAGTGCGTGTACGTGCGTGTACGTGCGTGTACCCGCGTGCACGTGCGTGTACCCGCGTGTACCCGCGTGTATCTGCGTGTACGTGCGTGTACCCGCGTGTACGTGCGTGTATCTCCGTGTACCCGCGTGTACGTGCGTGTATCTGCGTGTACCCGCGTGTACCTGCGTGTACGTGCGTGTACCCGCGTGTACGTGCGTGTACCCGCGTGTACGTGCGTGTACCCGCGTGTACGTGCGTGTACGTGCGTGTACCCGCGTGTACGTGCGTGTATCTTCGTGTACCCGCGTGTACGTGCGTGTACCCGCGTGCACGTGCGTTCACGTGCGTGTACCCGCGTGTACGTGTGTACGTACGTGTACCCGCGTGTACGTGCGTGTATCTGCGTGTACGTGCGTGTACCCGCGTGTACGTGCATGTACCTGCGTGTACGTGCGTGTACCCGCGTGCACGTGCGTGTACGTGCGTGCACCCGAGTGCACGTGCGTGTACCCGATTGTACGTGCGTGTATCTGCGTGTACGTGCGTGTACCGTGTGTACGTGCGTGTATCTCCGTGTACCCGCGTGTACGTGCGTGTATCTGCGTGTACGTGCGTGTACCTGCGTGTACGTGCGTGTACCCAAGTGTACGTGCGTGTACACGCGTGTACGTGCGTGTACCCGCGTGTACGTGCGTGTACGTGCGTGTACCGTGTCACGCGTGTACGTGCGTGTACCCGCGTGTACGTGCGTGTACGTGCGTGTACCTGCGTGTACGTGCGTGTACCCGCGTGTACGGGCGTGTATCTCCGTGTACCCGCGTGCACGTGCGTGTACCCGCGTGTACGTGCGTGTACGTGCGTGTACCCGCGTGTACGTGCGTGCATCTGTGTGTACGTGCGTGTACCCGCGTGTACGTGCGTGTACGTGCGTGTACGTGCACATGTGATTCATGTGTTCTCACGCGCTATGCATACGCCTGATATAGGGACCCTAGCCTGCTCCACTCCACGTGATTCACACGGGAAAGAATCTACGTACGTGGTTCGCGCGTATATCTGCTGATAACATTACTGGCAGATCTCCCCTGCCGCTGTTGCATGTATTTCTACACCTCCTCCAACGTAATTCCTCTTCCCCACCCGCGTAGAGCCCTCGTGTGGCACGAGTAGCGCTCGCCTTTTGCCATTATCGATTTAGGGAAACTGATCCGTGCGAAAAGGCCGCGACCTGTTCCGCCAACGTGGAATCTACTACACGGCTGGATGACCGATGATGACACACTACTAGTGAACGAAGAGAGTTTTTTTGCACTGGTTAGGATCGAGTTCGACTAGCAAGATGTAAATATTCGAGCAATAATACATATCGGCCGACGAGCGTCGGATCTCGGGCGCTGGGTGGTGACCTTGATCCTGACAGTCAACATCATGTGTCTGTGACCGTAAATCCGCAAAAGCGCGGTTGCGGAAAGTGAAGCCTCCCAGACAGCCATGGCTAAACTGTCTGCGATTTAGATCGGTTAACCGTATAACAGCGGCATGCAGATCAACACCCAATGAGCAACACAAAGCTTCTGGTTGCCCTTCGGCGCTAAAAAGATGCCGCATAAAAGAAATTCTTTTGTCACCTATCGATTATACAGTTCCATTATTACACAGCGCAGAAATGTCCTCCGGCCGTATAGTGCTGCCGTATCCGGCGCGCTTGAAAGATTCAATGCTGGCTATAATATGTGTAGCCAAACAGAGCTAACTGTGTGTGTGCGCGCGTTTACCATATAACATGGCCGTATCTGCTTATCTGGTTATGAGGGCTACATAACCTAGCATGCAGAGAGGTGGCGCACGAGTACGTTGAAACGAGCTGAGCTGAATTTTCGCCGTAGAGTCGATTAGAGCTTCGAGCTAACGCAACTGATGTTGATTACGTTCACTTTGCCCTCGACGATACGATCCTTATTAGGAATCAGAATCGATATTTAAAACTTGTTAAATACGAAACGCGTAACGGTAGCCGCAGATTTCTTTCTGTGCGTGCAAGAACTAATAATCAACACCGATAGCATAAAGGTCATTCAAGTTCATTAATCAAATTAGAAAACTATATTTTTTAATGTGTTGTTTGACACGTGGTCCGTCTCAAGAAAAGCATTTACGCCGGCTCTGTCTCCGTATGAAGGCAGGACAACAGGCTATATTAGACGACATACCAAAGGAAATCCACCCACACTCGTCATACGGTTATAACACGCATTGCTTCAGAATTTTCATGCCTTTGGCACCTGAATTGCGAATGTGGACAAATTCAGTTCTATCTACAAAGTTTCGTTGTTATTTAGTTTTGATACCAGCCGTTA